TGTGGTTTACTTCCCAGGTAGGTGTAGCTTTGTTAAGCAGGGCTAAACGTGGAGAAATAAGAGCGTGGGCCAGATGGCAGAGCGAATGAAGGGTAGTTCAACACTCTTCCTGTTGCAGGACCAAGCATAAGCAGATTTTTAAAAATTGGATTTGGGGACAAAGCACAGCTGGTACAAAGCTTTAGCAGGAATTCAAATGCTGCTGCTTATTAGGGCAGTAAGTGATGATTTATAAGTCCTTTTTTTTTTTTTTTGCTGTTTAAATTAATGCCAATAGACTTGCATAGCATTTTGCACACAGGAGTTTCTTTCTCTAAAGTCAGCTGTTCTTGCAGCCTCTGTGGAATTAAGGTGTTTTATCTGGTCTCTGGCAGGTACTTGGCAAGGCAGGAGACCTTAGCAACATCCTGCATCGTCCTCTGCAAACAGTGGGAAGCAAGAGGAGGAGAGTGYACAAGTGTCCTTCCGGGCAGCGTAAAAATAGCACGTTGGGAAGAAGTCACACACGTTACTTAACCATTCCTTGTCTGTCTTCAGAGAGAAATGGAGAAAAAAAGCAAATATGTTTGAGAGCAGAGTTTACTGCATCAGCCCTTCAGCGGAAAAAGAATATTGCTTCCTGAGCAAGAAAAATACCAACCCTTTCCATCTCCTTTGTGGCTCTTGTTTTGGTGTTTGGGCATAACGGGATTTTTACAGAAAAGAAGGCAGGCAGCACGTAGCAATATTGATTGCCTGCTCTTTCCCTGCTTCAGAATTGCTGGTGGAAAAAGAAAAGCGGGCGATGATCTCCGGTGCACGTGGGCCTCGGAGCATTTGGCAGCACGAGCGGCGTGCACGATCAAAGTGTCTCTTGACAGCCAGCCTCGTCCTGGCAGCCTTTACTCCAGGCAACAAATTAATCCACTCAACTGTTCTGCATAATTGTTGATACCGTCTTAATTGGAACCATACGTTTCTCTGTGTCGACACGTCCATCATGTTATTGTCTGGGGACTGTTGTTTCCTACCAGCTTGGGAACAGCATAAGCTGCTCCTTCCTAACCAAGCTCCTACCGTAAGTGTCTCGCTTGAAAACAAACAAACAAAACCAGCTAAATGGCAAAGGGAAAATTTCACTCTGYGTTAGGGCGTGATTCAGAGTTCAGCAGAAAAATGTGACTCTTGCCTTCGTTAGTGTTTGGAGTAGAGCCAGATTTCAGGGCTCTCTAAAGGCAATTCAGCTCAGCCTAAGTGAAGGCCGAAGGAAAAAGAGCTTCCTTGGCTGCTCCTGGGAAATCTGTGTTTTCCCAGGAAACTGGCGGCTAGCAAATGTTTTCCGGGCACGTTGCAGTGATGCAGCCAGGGCAAGGCAGCTGCAGAGATACGGGACTGCGGAGCGCTCGTGAATTTGTGGATTGTGATGAACATTTTGTATGTTGCCTGTTACCAAACTGGCAAGCAGGGCAGAGCACRCGGCCTGGCTGCTTTCACCCCAGCTCCTCCATACGCTGCCCCTCCGCTCTGATACATCTGCCTGCTACCAGGATCAGGTAAATCCTGGCTCAGGATGTAGCCCAGCCTGAGGTGACTTGGTGTCGGCTTCCACGGGAGCAGCTCCCAGGTGGAAAGGTGATCTCTCACCCAGCACAGGTGAGATTTTTCTCAATTTTTCCATATTTTTCTCGTAAACTTTTCATTTTTTCTCACAGCTTTTTTTCAGCAAGCACTAGCGTGGTTAAATCCCTTCATACCTGCGAGGAAATCGGGTGCTGCAGGAAAGGGCATCTCACTGATGACCACATAAAGAAGTAGTTCTGTGTTCAGAGAAGCTCTGGATCCACACGTGGTAAGACAGGAGCCAATGTGCTTGAGTAATAAAGATCAAATATCCTTTTATTCAGCAAAAATATGGCATGTGATTATGAAATGCAAGGCCTCAACGTAAGGGAGATGTGCAGGGAGGGCAGAAGAGGTTTGCACAAGCAACCTTAATTCGTTCACCTTCTGACTTTGTTTCTGCAATGAATTTTTTAACTATGATATTGCCTGTGCACACACACATTCACTTGTGTGCTCACTCATTTCTTCTTTCTCTAGTAATTTGGTTATTAGCTACCTGTTTTCATCATTTTAGGTGGCATGATTTCTTGTCCAAGCAATTGGCCAATTTATAAGCAAAAAAAAAAAAAAAAAAAAAGATGTAGTGAAGTGAGAATGAAGACTCCTTCCCTACCCCTTTGTCAAGCCATCACTGAATATTTAGGCATCTGCCAGTCTCTGATTGAAAAGATCATTTGAGAGAGCAGCAAAAATCATTGAAACGTATTTTGCAGTGGTTTTAAACTGTAACGTTGCTATTTGGGTCTGCAGAAGAGAAAAGCAGGAGGGGAATAAGCAAGAACTTTTGCATGTTTGCATGGTAAACCTTCCCGGAAGGAAAAAGCACTGTAAATTTATGATTATTTTAATGACCACCCGATGCACGCAGGTGCGTTTGGCCAGCGCGTGCAGCGGAGGGGACGTCACCCTGTACCCACAGTGAGTCGGAGCAGCCTCCCTTTCCGTGGGCCTCGCACAGCGAGGGAGGCCGGGGCTCCCCGAGCCGACCGCTCCGCGCGGCGTCGCCTCCTTCCCTCCTGCCTTGTCGGCGGCAGCCTCTTAGGGCAGCTCTTTTATACCACCCAGCTGGGGCTCTGTACAGGGCTAATGAGGAGTTASAGTTGGGATAGGATATTGTGACTCAGGGAGTTACAGGAGCGTATGGAAAAATCGTGACGGGCCTTTAATGATGACAAACTAGCCTGCCTGATAGTTCCAAATTAAATGCTTTTCATGAAAATTCTCTGTAGAAAATACATTTCTAATGTATTATTAGAAATACATTTCTGATATATTAGTATATATTTTCTGTAGAAAATACATTTCTAATATAAACCCTTTTCCCCTTCTTTAACTCTGTGGTTCAATTTAAGCAGAATGCTGTTGTTTTTTCTCCACCTCCTCTCTGTTGGCAGGAAGGTATGTAAATCCCGTATTAAAAAGGTTTTACAAGGCTGTGCACTGAATGGGCAGCGTACACAGAAATGTCTTGTTCAACGTGGCCGTAAGGGAAGGTTGAGACAGCAAGAGAAGGGCAACAAGGTCACAARAATCCCAAGGGAAAGAGCAGCAGGTGGAGGCACCTCCACGGCCTCCTCACAAGTTGCTGCAGCCGCTCTGACCCAGACCCATGTGAAGATGCTCAGAGATCACCTAGGAGCAGGTCAGATGGAGCAGGCTGATGAGTGAGTGCAGAGGCTGCTGCAGGTAAGGAAGGGGTGAGGGACCATGTAAAGTGGGGAGGGAGCCTTGGAGGACAAGCTGGGATGTGCCCTGGATGTGCCCTGAGCAGCAAAGTGACCTGAGCCCCAGTGGTGGGGAGAAAACACCACGAGGACTCCTGGCACTGGCCCACTCGGAGGAAGAAAGTCCAGTAGCTCAGTGGATGTCACAGGGACAGGTGACAGCAGGCCAAGACCGGGCAGAAATGTGGAACTGGAAATAGCAAGGTGGAGGGCAACCTGGCATTTAACATGACTGCAGTATTTTTATCTGAAGAAACAGCACAAAATAGTTTTAATGTTTACATGTAGAAACAGCTCTAATATTTTAGGGAGGCCTTTTTAGTGCACCTGCATGAGTCTTCTKGATTTTGTCCCTCTCGCAATGTTAAACTTGAACTTCAGAGCCACTGATGATGTGGAAAGATATAATTAAGTAAACACTGCTAAAGAAATTAAGCGCCTTAATATCCTGCCAAGCTTTGTGTAGCACTTACCTCTCTAGCCCTTCTTTCAGCTTCGGATCTGGGCTGTCCTCCAGGAGCTTCTGCACTGGGTGCAGCTCCCGGKGCCTGCCTGGAGCGGCTGTCAGGCCCTGCCATGGGAAGGGAATCGGTGCTCCCCATACCCTGGCTGGGCTCAGCTGGGGCTGTAGCACTGGAGAGGGCAGGGGGGGATAGAGCAAAGGGAACATTAGGACATTCATGAGTGGGTTTGAACGTTGTGTTGAGAAAYAGAGCTGGGGGGCGGCCTTTGGTGGCTGTCAGTGCGGGGTGGTGCTGCTGGTGCCATGGCATCTTACTGCTGAGGTGTGCTGTGGCCAAGCAGTGATTTTTTTTCCTCTCTTTTTCRCACAGAATCACAGAATGGTTGAGGTTGGAAGGGACCTCTAGAGATCATCCAGTCCAACCCCTTGCTCCAGCAGGAACACCCAGAGCACAGGGCACCCGGTCACATCCAGGCARGTTTGGAAGATCTCCGCAGCCTGTTCCAGGGCTCTGTCACTCTCACAGGAAAGTTGTTCTTCCTCACATGCAGCTTAAACTCCTATTATCCTGGTACCTAAGAGGCCACGGGCTGTATTTGTTAACAGAGAAGCTCTTCGTGAAGAATTGTGCTGAGAGAGGTAGTTATGAGTGGCCTCAAACTACAGTTAATGGGAACTCAGAGCATTGATGACTTAGTCATCTTCACTTAAAGTTTCCATTGACTTTTTTTTTCCCCATGAAAATGATTTTGCTGTTTTAATGATTACTCATTAAACGGTTTCAATTGAAAAGATTTTAGACAGGTAYTCGAGCCCCTGTGCTCTCTGGGCAGTGTGCAGGAGCACCCAGCCCCGCTGGGGTGGGCTCCTTGTGCAGGGAGGACCACGCAGGCTCAGGTGAAACGGGGCAACCGACCGGCCTTGCGTGGGCAGCCTTGGYGCTGCGAGCGAGGTGACACTCGTGGGGACAGCACTTGGGCTGYACAGTCCATTCCTAAAGGTGTCAGCTCGGCCACAGTGCTGTCTTTGTGGCGGGSCAAACAATTTGTGCTTCACAATGTGAGCGCTCCGTGCGTGGGCTAAAAAATACCTCTGCGTTCTGCCTTTCATTACAGCTGCTTTGCTGTGCGTGCAGAGCAATCCTTTCCACTTAGCCAGCCAGCCACGCTGGCTTTTAAGCAAGTGAGGCCGTAAAAATATTTACATTTTTCCACAGCGCTTGGTCTGCGTGCCATCAAACGAGCTGAAAGGCGGTGGAGCTTCGATCCAGTGGGAAGATGTTGTCTTAAGCTGTGAAAAAAGGGCCTGTGAGGGACCCTTGTCTGCAGCGAAGGGGCTTTGACCTGCACAAGGGTCTGCATCGTGCTGAAACTTCTTCCCCGCRTTGGAAGTTTGTGTTGGAACTGCACAGCTGGGCATAAGACCAGGCAACAGATTGTTAGTGCTGAAAAATGGGAGCAGATTGCTTAGTGTTATCTGCAGGAAAAGTTTTTATTTTTGGTAGATAGGATGTTCTGTTATCGATGGTGCAGGATTAGACCTTTGGTGCTTGTCTTGCTGGATAGGGCTTGGTTACCGTGTGCCAGTTTCCCTGAAATGCGGTGGGATGGGGGCTCTGGGTGGTTTGTCACGTGTGCTGTGCCTTCACAAATGTCTTTTCAGTGGCTGCAGGGATGTTCAGCAAGCCAGGGCATCCTCGAGACCTTGTTCCTCCTCATGTCAACGAATGTTAACAGCGTTGTTGGATTTAGAAATCCCACTAGGAGTTTCCTGAGCCCTTTCAGCCAAGTCCTTTGAGGATTGAAGCTCCTCTTCCTGCTGGCTCTAACGAAGTACCCTGCAAATCAAGGGAAGAGAAATGCAAGAATCAGGCCCCGAACTGCTGAGCTGAGAGCTGCTTGCCCTAAAAGATACTAAATTCTTTCCAGATGTTGAGAAATGCAGCTCAACTGTCTTCCTCTGCTATGAGATAAAACTTGGACCAAATTTATTTAAATATATATAGAACTATTGGTGTAACTAATGTGTGCGTGCGTGAATTATCCATTCAGATGTCCAACTTTAAAACAAACTTTAAAATTGTATCCACTTTAAGTCAAAAAGCAGTCAAAAGCCACAGTATATTTCCCAATTTTATTGAATAGGTGAGTGAATTTGCTTTTGATTTTATATGTTCTTTCATATATGTATGTGTGTATAGATACACAAATATAAATGTGGAGACCATTAGCCATCATTTTCATTCATCATTCATAGGTAGATCATTCACGTAGTGTATGAGTGTGTGTGTGTGTGTATATATTTGTAGTGTAGCTAGTGATGTATTCATCTGGCATATATCATGGCGAAAAATATCTGTAGGTTTTACAGGAAGTTTCCTTTTCTGCTTTTTTTCCCTCTCTCATCTGATACAGACACGTCAAGTCACTTTGTAAGGTGTCCACGGAGCACGTTGAGGAGCTCTGGAGATCTCAGGGGAACGTACAGAGCAGCAGCTCTGAGCTGCTCCTGACTGCCCCGACGTGTCCCACTGAAGCTGACGTGTTAAATGACTTCATGTTAGTGCTGTAAATGCGACGTGGATCTGATGTAGGACGCTTACAGTCTTCCCTTTCTTGATAACTGTTTTAATGTTACATTAATTATTCCTGAATTACAATGCTGGTGAATGTTGATAAAAGCTGAATTGCTGCTTGAAATGCTGATCCTGACAGTCCTGTGGCAGGCGCTTAAAATGTGATTTCCAAGTCTTTGGGGAAAAAAGGGAATACATTACCACTGCTGATGAGAGGACTTCAGAAGGAAGATATTCTAGTCACATCTCGTGGAGCACTTGRCTGATTCCCTGTTGCTTGCAGTAGCCGATGCCTTTGCACAAGGCATAAAAGGAATGTGCTCTTTATTTTATTTTGTAGTTTAAGATTTTGTAGAGATTGCTGGTGTAGAATCAGCTCAGCACACAGGGACAGGCCCCACCACGGAGGCCTGGTGCACATGGARGTCTGTGGGTATCCCTGCAGCCTGTGAGAGCTGGTGAGTGGGAGCAAAGCTTGCAGCCCCAGCACGGAGYCCCCTCCTTCCTTGGCATCACCTGGCCTGGGAGTTTGGGATCTGTGGCTCCGTTGGGGTCCGTTTGGGCACAGCTGCCTTCAGGCTCAGGCATTCCTCCTGCAGCACTGCAGTTTTGGTGGTGTGGACCACAAGGCAAACTGCACAGCTAGGCTGGAGACTGTCCCAGTAGCCTCTTGTTTGGGGGTACCGTGATGCTTGACTTCCAGTAAATGGAGTAAAATATTGGAAGAGGAAAAAAAATTGGTATAGAGTGAATAGAGGCACCTAAATAGCCTCTGAATCCTCAGCCATAAATCACTACAAGAACCTCTGTGGTGCTCTCAGGTCCCCTTGAGCTGTGCAGGCGGGTGAGTGTGCGAGCACCCACTCGAGTCCTCCCAACTACGGGAGTCCCGAGTCCCACGAGGAGGTCGGAGAGCAGCATCCAGGCTCCTCTTGGTGCAGGAGGAAGGAAGGGGTGCAGCCTCTGCAAGGTGATGGTCAAAAGCCAAAGTCGTCACCAGTGCAGCAGGGGAGGATATCAAATTTTTACCTTCCTTCCCTCTCCAGCAGCAGCAGCAACTGGCCGTGACTGCAGGAAAAAATATTCCATCTCTCAGAGGGAGTTTGAGGTTTCTCTGTGTTTGTTTATTAAAGAAAGAAAGCAGCTGGCCCGCGYATGCAAACACTAGTAAATCATTTGAAATATGCTCGGTGTTGCACGAGTGGGGCTGGAAGCTTCCAGCTACGAGCAGAAACACGAGGGAAGAGAGYGGGCAGGTGTGGAGGGACTCCAAGCACGGGGAGGGAAGGCAAATCTTCGCCCTCCTTCCCTCCTCTTTATTCCTTCCCAGGAGTTTTCCCAACCCTCTAAAAATCCTGAGAGATAACGTTGGAATCTGAGTTAAAACGAGTCTCTTTGAGGCTGCGTTGTCCTTCATAGAGAGTCTGGAGCTTGCCTGGGGATCTGYGCATGAGCCACGGTGTATTTCCAGCACTGTGCATGGACACAAATGGATTTGGCAGCGGGAGGTGCAGAGGGCAAGGGCTGGGGGCTGCTCCGAGTGTCTCGCTCTGCCCTGTCTCGTGTCAGCTGGCAACTGGAATCAGTCAGATTTGTTAAAAATCATAAATATATGAGAAGTGAAGCTGTAGGCTCAATTGGCTGCTGTCTAGGGGGTTCATAARAGGCCCAGCAGGCTGGGAGGCTCTGACCAAAGCAGGATTCAAAACCAAGGAGAAGGGCTGCTCTGCAGTGCTGGGATTATGGAGATTGCTGGAGTTTGTRCAGGAGGCAATTGCTGTGTATAAATTGAACATTTAAAGCTCCAGCAGTGTAATTCTTGGAGAACTGCCATTTGGGAATAAACATTCTTTTCCTTTAGAAGGAGTGGAGAAGAATGGAGAAAAATCTTAAGATTTTTCTCTTGGAGAGGCATGGAAGCTAAATCTCCCATCAGGAAAGGATATTCTTATGTTGGCTTACAGTTTCAATGGGATTAATATGAGTGGTAGTGTAATTCATGCTTTATACTGCAGGCAAGGAAATTGAAACTGAATCATAGAGAAGTTCATAYGAAGGAGGGAGGAGGAGATGTCTTCTCACAGGGGCAGAGAAGAGGGGGCTACAGCAGCTCAAATGGGACAGTGCCACAAAGAAGTTTTTTAGTGATCCCTTGCTTCTGGCAGAGAAGACGACACTTCCAGTGGTGCTCGTGAAGCTTAARAAAGGCTGATGTTTGAGAGAGGAGGAGCAGAGGAAGGAGACATTGCACCAACGAAGACATTGAGCCAGGATCTAGAACCAGGATGGGGCCAGTTTTGTTCTGGTTGCTGCAGAATGGAAGACGATCACACTGATTTGTGAGCAGCCCGGTAAGACATCGAACGGAGAGTTTGTCTGCAGAGAGAATCCACGTTGGTGCCCCCAAGCTGGTGTGATAATTAGTCTTTTGTGATTCCCACAGATGCCCGCAGAGCAGCAGAAACAGCAGCTCGTGCTTGGCCGTGATTGACGAGCCACTGGCTTCCAGGGTAAGAAGTTTGGAAGTGGGTGACGGAGCCCTGGGCCAGAGTGATGGTTGTGGTTAGGGAAACTGCGGAGGGTTACGGGCTGCGGGGAGCTGGGGCTCAGCRTTTGTTTAGCACAGGCAGTCACTGTGTTTTGTTCCTTGTCCGAAACTGCCCTGTTTCTCTTCGGAGAAGGGAAGAGATGGGAATGTGGTTCTTGGAACAAAGATTTACCTTAAGCCTTCACTGGACTGAATAAGTGGCAAAAGACCCAGCTTAGCCCAGTCCACATTGCCCTGGCTCCCTCGTGGGATGTATAGGCAGCTGCAGGTTGCTCCCCTGCTCTGGGACACATGCTGCTTCAGGTTGCCCACTGCAGGGAAAACCACAGCTCTCTCTGCCTACAGTCATGGCTTTAAGGTCAGCTGAGTCCTGTTCTGTGCTTCTTCCATGGCGTGTGACCTGCTGCAAGACACTTCAGCGTGGATCTGGGACGGGCCTTGCACAAGGCAGCTGCTAAGTTGAGCCCAGCTGAGCAGTGCACCGGGCTCAGGAAGCGTGCCAGGCTCAATGGCACTCGAGTGCACCTCCAAACCGACCGCGTGGGGCTGGAGCAGCCCAGACAGGTACGTGCAGAGCAGGGGGCYGCCTGCAGGCGGGAGCGCCGAGGCGGGAGGCAGCGGGCAAGTCCGGGCACCTCCGTGGCACGGCAGCAGCCGAGCGGGAGCGCGGAGCTGCRGCATTGCAGCCTCGTGCCCTGTCTGCAGAGCGCCGCTTCGGGCGCCGCTGGCGTTCGCGTTTAACAGCGGCACCCTTTCATCTGTGTGGCTCACGCTCTTTCTTGCAAGCAGGGTTACTAATACTGAGGCGTGTTTTGTAAAGAGTGCTGCTCTCTGTGGGTGAACGTGCCTCTCTAGAACCACAATATTTAACACATCACTCTGCTGCTCTACCTCACGCTCTTAGCAGTTTCCAAGCGTTTSTGGGGGAGTTTTTGGAATGAGGGGATTTACCTGGCAGCAGATCTCCTTGAAGGGCAGCGGGGAGGATGACTGTAGCCCCACTAACCCAATTGCACAAGGCAGGGACTGTATTTGCCCCTTCACTTGCAGCATCCRCCACTACCTGGGAGGCCTCTGCTCAGGACTGCATACAGGTTTTGCAGTACTGGGCTTAGTTGCCTGTGCACATGTCCTCTGTTGGCATATTTTGTGTCTGTATTTCTGAATGTGAGTACTTTAATTCACCCAGTCCTTGGCATGAAAAGCTGGTGACACTGTCTCTGCCCCGTGGAGCTGATGCATGTCACAGGCTGCTCCTGTGCCTGCCCACAGGGCTCTCTTGGGCCTCCTGCAGCTCGCTCAGCCCCAGCTCCCCCTTTCTATCCCACAGTGTTTCCTTTCCCCCAGAAGTGCTCCCAGCGCATCCGGCTTCGTCCTTGCTATTGCACATCACCACTGCTGCTGCTTTTCTTCTCMGGAGGGACACGGAGCGAAGCCGCCTCTGCTGAGCTCCCGGAGGCCTCAGGTGTGCGCTGYGGAGGAGGTGCTGCTCCGTGCTGTGCAAGCGCATGGTCTGATCCACTGTAGCTCCACTCATGTCTCCGCAGTGTCCACAGGCTGAAAATACAGCTGCAAGTCAACAAACCGTGCTGCTAAAATGCAGCCAGCTTTAAAACACTCCCGGGGTGGCACCTACCTGCTGGCCTGGCGATGGCAGCTCCTGCCTGCTGCAGGAGGGAGCCCTGCGAGCAGCAGAGCAGCAGGTCCTGGTGCCTGGGAAGGGCTGGGAAGGAGCCCGTGCACGGAGGAAGCTCCAGCRCTCGGAGCCTCTCTGTGCACTGCGGCTCTGCAGGACAGGTCCGAAGGGGAAAGCTCCCCTGTCCTTTCTCCTTCTTGCAGGAGGAAAAGAAAAGGAGCCTCGTCTTGCAGCTGAGGCCCTGAGGTGCAGAGATTAGGAGCTGGACCTGGAACAGATTTAGGCAGTGGCTACGCGAAGAGAAAGACCCGGGAGAGGTGCCCTCTTGGGAGCGAGAGTGCACGTGGTGGAAGATGCTGCCCAGGAGCTAGGGTTGCTGTTAGCTAGAGATAARGTGATTGCCCTGGATCCGAGGGACTGCAACATCCATCCACTTTGTTTCTGTGTTTTTGTTGGGTGGGAAAGGGAGAATTGTTCTGGGAAGCGCCCCCAGGCCATCCCTTCGGGCAAAACAGCTTGGGGCTGGCTAGGGGGTGGAAAGGGGAAGGCAAATTATAGGTCCTGCAGTGCCTGAGTTGTGGAGTGGTTCATGCTGGGGAAAAGGCCAACAGAGGATCACAGAGAGCCATGGAGCTGTGCTCCTCCTGTCCGATACCATGTCTCACCCCCCAGATCTCCTGCAAATGTCTCACTGAGGTCACCTGGGTGGTGACGGAATCACCCCGGCCCTTTTTTACCCAGGGGAAGGCCACACCGAGGGGCTGGATTGGTGCCGGGTTTGGAGCTGGAATGGTGAAGAGGAAGCTTTGGGCCAAGGGTGCTGCTGTAAACCAGTCCCCTCGCCCTGTGCTCGGCCAGGGCATCCGGCATCGCTGAGCACTTAAACTCTCCCGCAGCCACTAAATGGAGTCAAAGTCAGGGGGTATTTTTGTTGCTGCAGTCAGTCCAGACCCTGGTGCTTTCTCTGTCTCCCTCTCTTACTAATAATGGTTCATCTTGAATGCTCTCATTTTATTTGGCATATAAACTTTTTATGGGAGCATTCTTGTGTTGTCCCCACCCAGAAGCGGAGGGTGTTAATCTTTGGTTGGGACCTTGGTGTTATTTGTGCTGAGTATCTACTTACCAAATGCATTCCAAACTTAAAATTCAAGGGAAAACAGTGCGGGGGGATGCAGGGATGTGCACAACGGAGAAAAGCAATATAAAAGTTCAATTCTTTTTGTGTAATAGGGCAAACCTTCCAAAAAAATGAAGGCTCTATCACATGTTTCCTAGAACTAGCCAAATAAAATATTGTGATTTAAATCGCTGGGGGTCAGAGAAACAACTTGGGCTGTGGGATCAGTGTTTTTCCCTCCTCACAGTGTCATCTGCTGAATGATGATGCTTGCAAGAGGCAAGAGGCAGGGGCTGTATGAGGGAGCCACCCTGCTGCCTAACGCACTGAGGGCTGCTGTAAGAAAAGCAAACTTTCTCTGTATTTAAGGGCAGAAAAGCAACCTGGAGAGGGCTGAAGCTTTTTGTAGAGCGTGCTATGTTCAAGTAACCTAGCTTTACTCTTTAAGGACTTGGARTAGATTGATTGGTGCAGCTTTTTATTTATTTATTTACTGTTTTAAAAAAAAAATGATTTCTTTTTATTTTCACAGTAATTGAGCCTTGGCTGCTCTATGAAAAGGCTGTATTGAGTTTACCCCTGGTTATCTACCCCTGCGAGTCCCGTATGGCCCCTTCTCCATATTGTCACCAATGGGCCATACTTGGAGCATGGATCCTGACGGGAAGAGCGTGAGATTCCCAAGCCCTGCCCTGGGCCGCTGTCACCAGCGCTGGCCCTTGGCCACCAGCCTGGAGGCAGCCGGGGTGGGCGACCATGGATGGTTTTTGTCCTTTGCTCCTCCTCACGCTCCCATTCCATTGCAGTGTTCCCAGGGGAAGCACCGGGGCCTCTCTGCGGATGCCTGGGCCGGGGGAATCAAGGAGAGGGGCCGCCTCGCAGGGCCGCTTGCAGGCTGCACAGACCTGTGAGTTGCCAGATTATTTAGATCGCTTTGTCTCTTTCTTCTCCATCTGTATTTTAAACAGCTGTTGTAAGATAATACTGATTTTAGTGGCAAGGCAAGTTTTTCTTCTAAAACACATGTTCCCTAAAGCCTTAGTGCTCTATTTCCTTAGCCCTGCTTTATTGCTGTTGCCTTACCCTATATACCAGGTATTCCCGGGGGGAAAAAAAGGCAAAGAGCAGCAAAACTTCCTCTGCTCCCCACACCACACTGAATGCATCGGGATGAACACAGTGGATCTGTTACATTGAGCAGTTTGATGGGGACCTGACTTGCCTTTCATTTCTTAGTTACTTTCCCATAGAAGTGTTGATGAAAAGTGTTTACAGGTTGTATTTAGAACGGGAAACAGTAAGATGGGATAGAGCCTAAATCTGGAGAAGGATATAGCGAGATTGAAAAATGAAAGCTATATTTAAGACTATTATATTTAAACATCCTTGCCTGTGTTTTGTAATTCTAATGGAAACCAATGGAGGATTTGGGACTATTGATCTTTGTGTGTGTCCTTTATCAAAGCATAAAATGACCTCTGAGCACAACTGACTGTGCAGGACCTACAGTCCTGACATTTTGCTAGTCGGTGTGCTAGATATTCTAGATGTTCTGATATTACAAAAATTACAAGCCTCCAAGGCAAGTTTGTAAAATAAGATGTTCTCATATGCCTATGTTCCCAGCTTGTCCTCGCAGCAGAACCTTCTTTAAAAAGCCAGTAATGAGGGAAATGGAAGTCTTGAGAGAGACCTCTCCGTATGTGTAACCTTAAAAAGTGTGCTGTGGTGAGCTAAGGAAGCTCAAAATGAAAGAAATATGGCTAAAACAATTTGAGTCTTACAGATGTGCTGATCCTTCAGACCAGAACTCCACAATACTCTTCTCCTATATATGTATATGTGTATATATATATATATATATACACACATATATATTGCTGCGTATGGGGATACTAATGACATTGCCTTTGGGCA